CCTTTGTAACGCTAAATTTCAGTCACATTTTCACTTATAACATAATATTTCCACTATCCCGCGTAACGCTAAATTTAAATTACATTTTCACCTTAAACATGATATTTTAACTATGATGAAATATGTTTATAAAGCACCTGTGCAAAAGTTTGCTTAGTTTTAAATTTAAGCACGAGATTTTGATTATCATTTACATACAAATAAAAGTGGCGCTCAACTTTAAAAGTACTTTATAATAACATTTTATCGAATGATCGATTCACAAATAAGCATGTCACCAATTTTAAATGGAAAGTACTAAGATTATGTAAAAAATGACAAGATTTCACACTGATTGGAATAATTGCTTTAAATTAATTAAAACAGTGAAAGATTTCGAACGCAAACGAAAAATAATATGAAAAAAAGGATAAATATTAAACTATGTCATAAAACTCAAATTACTAACTATTCTCCAACGAATTCTCTTCTCTCTTCAATTTTATTCGAACAGAAAATGTAACTCATTTTCAGTTCTTGTTCGAAAACCTTTTGAAAAATTTGACAAATAGGAATAAAATCTCTTCTTTGATTGGTTCAGGCTTGCGAAGGGAAAATATTCTCGTCTAAAGAGGATGTTCCAGTACAAACGGTAAATGAAATTGCATTCCTTTTCTCATGCTTTCTCAAATAAAAGGTAAAATGTCACCCTCTTCTTCGAGAAGAATTCTCTCGAAGATTCTTGCCATCTTTTAGAGTAGAATTTATTCTTTCTTTTATTTTGTGTCATTAAAGGTGTCTTCAATCAATGGAAATATCGGAAGAATATTTACACTTATTACTTTTTTTTTGTTGCTGTTCTATGCATTTCGAATAATGGAATTTTTATATTTTTAATAAACCCATTTTTCATATCATTATTTGAAAAGTATATTTTCAAAAGTAGATTTTTTTCAACGACTTTCGAAACGAAAATGAATGTTTATCAAAACTGCTGTTAATGTTGAGAATATTTTGATATAAAATATCTTTTCTTATAAATAGTTTTATATATAGTTATATTTTATGCATATAGTTACAGAGTTACATGTAGCTTTAATTTATGCGTTTTTCATTCAGAATTAATCTGAATATAAACGAATTTTAAATCAGAGTTTGGGACTGCAGTAAATACATTTTCAAATGTAATATCATATATCTTTATACAAGTTTTTTGAAGCTTCGTATTTTCTTTCTCAAACTAATTTATTTTAAAGGAATGCAAATAACTTTGATTTTAGTATTTGCATAGGTGATTACATTTAATGCATTGTATGTTTTCATGGAAAAAAATTGAAAGCATTTCATGAAATAACATATAACCAGCAAATGCTTTACAAACCAATACATTCAAATTGTTTCACCAATATAATGTTTTTTCTCTTCTAAAATACTAAATTAAGTCATTAAAAGGATGCATATTACAAATTAAATGACTGAGGTTTAATTGAATGTTATGTAATGGAGAACGAAAAGTTTTCTAGTTTAGTAGTAGTTAAAAAATACTTAATGCGAATTCTCTCCTCCCCCCCTCCGCTGTAGAAAACAAACATTTATATATTTTTCACTTTTTTTGCAAACGATTTAGAACGGACTAAACAGTTTCGGAACTATGCGCCATGCAGTTCCTAAGACTGACATTTTTTCCCGTTTTGTTTTTTAAATAGTGAGCATTAGACATGGTTTAAAGATAAGAATAATCAAATCATTCTTAAGTCGGGTAAATTAGAAATCAAAATTTAAAGCAGGTCAGACAGTAAGTATGAATGTTTCATTTCAACTACAGATAAATATCTAAAGATATTCTACTCTAATGTTAGAACTTGTAAAAAAGCAAAGAAATTAAAGCAGCGACTTTTCCCTAACTATTAACTACTAATTGAACAATGAGTGTATCGTTTGCTTTTACCATTTTTGATTCCATTAATAAAATTATCTTTAATCGTTTAATTAGTTGTTTTATTTTAATTCAATAAATATTCGTCCTTTAAAAGATTCGGAGTGTTAGTGACATAGAATGCATCAACATTTTTTAGCGTAAGAAACTATTTGATTTCAATGTTTGAGCCATAAGCGATAATGCCTAAAAACGATCCACTTTGACATCATCATGACAGTTTTCTTGAAGCTTCTCCTGACCATACTGACCACTGCTCCCTCTAGTAACATTTAATGAAAATGGTTAGTTGATACAGTTGATTAAAATAGTTGACACTCTACCACTTCTAATTCAGTCTATGTCATATTTTTATTTACTTAATTCGATTATGTTTTTGAATGAATAAACAGTAATTCTTTGTGATTTATTGTCTTAAGGCCTGGTTTCTTAGGACAGGACGCCGTCAGCTGGAAATCAGCGCTAACCTCTGATTGGTCCATTTGTGAGTTTGATAGTATACGTCATCGAACGCTCATCTTGAACTACAATTGGCGTCCAACTCAACTGCAGTTGGATTACAACGTGACGTTAACCACAGAAGCAATGGCGGACAGCATCCAACAGCACATTGAAATCAGCCAAGATTTTGATTTTGACATTAAACATAGCTTCTTCATTAATCATAGCACTCTTCATTTAGCTCAGCTATAATGTGTTTTTTCTTGGACAAAGTCATTATTTGTTCTCTAAAACACTGGTCGACAAAAACAAAATCAATACAAATTCAAAATAAATATTTGTTTACGTTATTAACGCATGCGAAATGAGAGATAATGTCTGCGTTGGACGGACTGCTCACGCTGAGCTAACAAAAAAGTATTTTTTTGGCGTCAGCTCTACATCAACTTTCCGCTGACGCCCAGATAAGGCGCTAGTTCTAAGAAACCAGGCTTTGAGCTAACAAACCAGTATTTTGTTGGCGTCAGCGGGACGTTGACGTCCCGCTGACGCCCAGATAAGGCGCTAGTCCTAAGAAACCAGACCTTTAGAAGTATAATACTTTCTGATCTATTTCAAATGTTTTATTTTAGATTTCTGTTCTATTATAAGCAAAAAGTGTTTCTTTCATGTTTTTTTTACTCTTGTCTATTCACATTTATGTAAAATTTTGCTATAAACAGAGAAAAGATAAATGTATGTTAATAACGTTTTCCGTATTTATTCTTCTAAATTGGTTTGAAGGGAATAATTGTGCATGCTATCCATGAAATAAATATAACAAAAAGAAAAATGATAGAACTCAAAATATTTGAAATAAATCGTAATTTACTTTACAGTATGTACTTTTGTCATCAAAAACACGCGACATCCTAAAAGAATTAACATATAAGCATTTCACAGAAGTAAAATAAAATTGATACCCAAATAAATACAAAGAACTTCATAAACTCGATCAAAAACAAAAAATGAAAGCGATAAGTTCATCATTCTAACTAGTATTGCCTTTTGCCGTAAGATAGCGCTAAAAACGTTATGGCCTAAGTGTTGCCATTTTTGCACGCATCCGTAAGAAATCTGAAAAATCATGTCGCTTTTTTATATGCTCTATCATTAGAATGAAAACTTTTGATATCTTTGTTTGCGGTTTTATTTTTACTATTCTTTTCTTGCTTTTAAACTAATTTTTTTGGTTCATTATGAAGCATATATGTTTGATAGGCACGATTTTAAGTAAAAAAAAAAAAAAAAACGTGTTATTTCGTATAATTGATAAACCCGTTTTGCATATTTACCAACTTTAAACTACATTTTCATTTTTGTTTTTAGTAGAATTAATCATTGCCCATTGTTAAGGAAAATAAAAATAAATAAATTAACAGTAGTAAATAACATAAGATATTTATTAAGTTGTAGATTTTTTACTCATCAAATCTGCACAGTAGAGCGTCTTTAAGTGTTATTCTTCTATGATTTAAATATATTTTTTTTAAATATTTTATTTCATAACTGATGTTGAAAAGCCAACCCAATTCCAAGTTTACGACTTTCGATGTTCAACTACATTGCCAATAATTTTGAACCCAATCCAGAAGACAAGGGAACTCTTGGACGATGTATTGGGAGAAATTTGCCTCCGTGGAAGACTTTTGGATGTAACTAATCCGCATTGCATGGAGAGGATGAAAACAAAAACCTCTCACGGTTAGCTTACGGCAACGCGATTCAAACCCATGATCCGTCCACCACTGAGGATATTTTAAAGTCAGCACTGTGGTTGGTTCGAACCGGGAGCAGAATTCATATATATCATCCACCGCTGGCATTTACATCTCCTCATTTACAGGCGAACGCTCTATACACTGAAATAAGGCGGTTCTTATATTGTTAATTTTATTTTATCTTATAACAGGCATTAAACAGCCAACCCAATTCTGAGTTTACGACTATCAATGCTCAACTTCGTAGTCTTGTATTTCTTATTCCAACCCTGAAGACAAGGGAACTTGCCATTGGTGAACCTATCTTCGGTGAACCTATCATTTATCAGCCATTGGTGGAACCTATCTTTCTTTCGTGGAGAACTATTTAATGGATCTAAGCCACATTTGCGTTGCATGGAAAGTAAAACCTAGAAAACTAGCCATTGACGGGATTCGAACCTGGGTTAACTCAATGAGAGGCGAATGCTCTATCCCCTCAGCCACCGCGGATCTTATATTTTTTATAGACAGTCTTTCTACTTGTTGATTCTACGCAGAATGAAAGAAAACAATATTTTAACGCATATTTATGTACAAACCTTAATAAAAAAATTTTCAAAGTAATAAAAAAATACATTTAAACTTATTAAATTGCTTGAAAAGACATTATTCTTCACGTGGAAAGTTCAGAATTGAAAATAAAGGTACGTCTCGTAACTTATTCTTCCCAACGTAAATGATCCCCTTTGTTTTTTTGAGATAACCATAAGTGTACTTTAGTGGTAATCATCGCAATAAAAAAAATGTTGGCAATATTTCTAAAGACATGGAAAAAAAGTGGATCGAGAAGTGTATTTCATTCTAAATTGAGATTAGTGGTGGGCAATAAAGTGAAAGCTTACATTCGAGTTTGTCCTCGGGGCGACCTCCTTCTAAAAGTGAAAGATAGCAAACGATATCCTTCAGAGGAACACGCAAGGAATATACATCAACATGACTGCTGGCTTTCCGAAGAGGTTTCAATTCCACTAGAAGAAGATACATTTGAAAAGATGAAGGAATTTGTTACTTTACGAACACACATTTTTAAAATACATTAAATGAACATTTGGGGAATTTTAGATAGAAAGATTATGAATCTAACAAAGTACTATTTAACCAGGGATCTGTCCAGACATTTTGTGAAAGGTCCTGTTTTCGTAAAATTGTGAAAAAAACTATTCATAATTTGTGAATATAAAATAAGCGTTAAGTCACATTCTTTCAACCAGGTTCCTGATATTGTGAATTTGTGCAAATAGGGTCCAGTTATTGCAAAAATTGCTAAAACCCTTTTCAAGAAGTTTTTAAATTGTAAATAGATACAAGATTCTGCTCAACAATTGCTACCTTTAAATTAGAGATGCAACATACAAATATTTGGTATTTAGCCTATACGCAGAATATTCATTTCGGGCGAATAATGGAAACAAAATCATTCACATTTTTAATAATTTCAATTCACATATTTTAAATAACACAACTTAGTAATGTATCACTTTTAATGTGTTACGTATTAAATAAACTTAAACAACTCTTAAATTTTTAATATTTTATTTAAAAAATTGCCAGAAATTAATTTTTATGCGCATAATATTCTATTAACTAATTTTATGAATAAACATAAATGGATCAATTGTTTATTTACAAAAAAAAATTATGATTTAATATTAATAAGAATGTGCACACGCTGCTTGTAAAAGTAGAATCATTTTCTTAGAATACTACTTTTGGAATTTAAACTTAGGGAAACTTAGTTTGTCTCGAACCGTCTTTCTCTCCCCCCCCCCCCCGGAAAGGGCTTNAAAGGGTTTATTCGATTAACAAAACAATAATGAAGATAAACAAATTTGTGAAGGGTCCGATTAAAAGGTAAATTATTGTGTGAAGGGTCCGTTTTTATGAAAATATATTTTGTGAAGGGTCCGTTAACGGACCCAAATTTCTTCAAAACAGGCCCTTGATTTAACTGAAATACTGTGCTGATATATATTACATTTCCAAGTTAACACTACACTATCGGATTAAATTACGGTTTCAACTACCAGCAATTTGGGTGCATCATCCGTTGACCGCAAAATTATCCATTTTAACCGTCAAGTTCATTTTTACCGAAATATACTATACCGTAATTTGTACAATAATATTTATTTAAATAGAGTGATTCAATGATTTTATGGTAATTATTATAGTAAAAATTACGGTACATTAGATTTTTTGTTTCGTAACTTGTTTCGGCACAAATGTATTATTAAGGTAAAATTGACCGACACTCTGAGTGCCGGTACTTTTCACCTAAATTTGATCCAGAATTTTTTATAGAGTACGTTACAGTTGTTACACGTTATAATAAAGATGTAATATACTAAAGATAATTTTTTCCATTTTTACTCATTATAACATATGTTGAAAGGTATAAATGCGTTTTGTTATTTGCAGATATTTTGGAATATAAAAAGCTAATACTTAACTTTGTACAAAAACTCTTTATCCAACTTTATCTTTGAGACCTGGGTAATGGGGGCATAAAAAAACTCGAACGGTAATATTCGTAAAATCTCCAGACAAAGCATTTTATAATATATATTTTTTTAAATGGTTCCAAAAAAAAGAAAGAAAAAAAAGACAAATTCATAGTAAAGAAAAAAAAATTCTTGGCAACAAGGGTGAGTTTAATAGCAAAAAGAAATCGAACATCGTAGCCCAGGTGTTCGATTCGCCTTTTGGATTCTTTCGGTTAAAGTTAAAATACGACCAAAGATCTAAGATTTTCTTCTTCTTTTTTTGTAATTTTATAATATTATAAAAGTGCGTTATTTTTTCACAAAGCACTGGGTTTCTATCGTGATGCTAGTCCACTTTGGGAGAGTTTGATTATTAACTAGCATCTCTTTCGAACTTTCAAACATTTTCAAAGAAAACTTAGGAACTTTGGTAAGATGAATTAATAAACCTAAATCATACTTAATGTATTTAAAAAAAACTTAAAACTTTGCGAGCTGTTAAGATGCAATCATGGTTTATTTCATGGTTTATCGTGACTCAAAATTACTTTTGGTCTAAAAATATCTCGACCTATTTGAAACATTAAAAAAATTTCAACACGTTCCAAAATATAACATTTTGTAATGTTTTTGAGAAAATATTGTTATAATATTTGTCGGAAATAGAAATAAGAATTTAATAGACCATACATTAAAGAGTTTTCATTTTAAACAAGTTACTTATGAAAACTTTGTTATTAAATCCAATTGAATTTCATCCATATGCTTTGAAAAATAGATACTCAAAATTCACGAAATATTCTTTGTTTTTAACGAAACGTTACCAATAAAATGCTTTGATTTAATATTTTGTTAAATATAGATAATTACTGTTTTCACTAGTTTGATCATAAAAATCCCCTCCCTTAAAAATATATACATAAAAACTATTGATTATGAAATACTATTCAAAATAAAAGTAGAATATTCGAACGAGTTCTTAGTCATCACCACACTGTAAACAATTCCTTATCAAATTTCGGTAAAATCCCTTTTTACCAAAACAAACAACAAACAAAAATCTGATATACCATAATTTTTGCAATTATTATTACAATGATAGTACAATAATTATTAAAATAACTAAATCACCCTAATTCAATAAATATTACTGTAAAAATTAGAATAAAATATTTTATGATCAAAATTGATTTTATAGATGATGCACCCAAAGTGCCAGTATACTTTATACCGCAATTGATCCGAAGTTTTATGAAGATGATTTAAATTTGGGAAACATTTGATTAAAAAGTACTTTAACTCCACCATCCCGTAGTAAAGTGTAACCAGCTTGTTATGAAATAAGATTAAAAAAAAGTTGGAGAATTGCTAGATTGCACTGACATGGCATGTAAGTAAAAAAATATTCTTCTCCAAATATTTAAGAGTACGCATTGCATGAAAAAATAAATAACTTCGTAATGGAATAATTGTTATAAAAACAAACTACAGATTGAGGATTTGTGAGTTTTATTTGCTGGAAGTTTAATTGACATTAGTTGTAGATTTTAAATTACGAGTACAAATTTAAATTCATTCTGAATAAGTTGGTGAAATAATTTCGATTTTGAAACATTTAATTGTCATAACAAAATACTGAACACTTGAATGGAAATTCTGAATGCTTAAGTAGCTAACAAATAACTTTGAAAATAATCCTTTTCACAACTAATTAAAGAAGCTTGTTTTAAGTATTCATCAATTGTGTGTAAAATCAAAAACACGATAGTCGATCACTTAATTTTAAAAGGTAATTAAGTTTTCGCACTTTAATACTTCCTTAATTAAATAACTTGAGACAAAATAATAAGCTATTTTCCGTCAGCTAGCTATGAAAGTTACTCTTAATTGGCATTTTATGAACGAAGTGGTTTAAAAAGTCTCGGAAAACTATCAAAACTTTGACACTATATCGTTGTTATTTAATGGAAGTAGTTTTTGAGATAGCTTAAGGTGAAACATATGGCATGAAAATGAAAGAATTTCGGGATTTTAAATCCGTAATTAAAGTTCTAGATAAGTAAGAAAATTATTGATAATAGAGTAAGTTTTACTACACACTATGTGACGCAATTTTTCTATATAAAAGTTTATTATTATCTGGAAATTTTTTTTTAAAATCCATAAATGAATGGCTGAAAATGAATCAAACTTCGACATCATTCTTTGTCGATTCTTCATCTCGAAGAGAATTCGTTATTATAGTTTAAGGATGTAAAAGAATCGCTTATTAAAATCAGCAATTCTGCACTATAATATTTTTTCTTTTATAAATACAATAAGCAATCAAAATTCTATTTTTGTTAAAAAGATATTTGGAAGAATCTTTTTTGGAGCAATTTATTATTTTGAGCAATATATTTAGAGCAATTTTTTTTGTTCCAATTATATTTATTTGCAACACCCTACCAGATAAAGTGGGAAAATAAAACATTATAAATACGTAAAATAAAACGCAATCCGAATAAATGCATTTTACAAATTAAAACAATCAAATTACATATAACTTTGGAAGAGCATTTTAAATAAATAATTCCAAGAAACTGAAGCAGTAAGATATTACCTGATAGAAAATTTGATAAGGTTCAAAAAAATATTTTCAGTCTTTATTTATTCATTCATTTTTTTGAAGCGTATCAAGTTTTCTATCAGGTAATATGCAAATGCATGTTATCTGATATGCGATGTAAAAAAAAGTAACGATTTAATTTAAAAGTTTCTGTGCGAGATGTCGTAAATTAAAGTTGCCATTGCTCATTTTGGAGAATAACTTGACAATTATCCAAGCTGCACCACAAAATTTGGTCTAACCTTCACACAAACAAAATTTCTGCATATATAGACCCGGTGAAACGAAACAAGAACTCTCAACTTTTCAACTTTTACTTCAGATATTATGAAAATTTCTCTCAAAAAATCTTTCTAAATTTTTTATTAATTATGCATTTTTTATTGTGTTGGCATACCTAATTTTATTTTATTTGCTTCGTACAGAAATGTCCAGGCCAGAGGTTGCTGTGCCTAATCACATGGTTGGCGTGTTAATGTTACATCCTTTTTTGGCTCAGTTTTTAATCATACTTAATCAATTTTCGAATCGGATTTAATTGAATACCTGCAAGCGACGTCATGCGTAGGTGTCAAATCTGATTGGATGCTGAATCGTGACATAAAGAAATACCACGATCCAATTATTATTCAATTAATTGGATACCTGCAACCGTCGGTAAATCGTGGAATTTTTCGATTTGACCCACATATGCCAATCAGGTTCGACCCATGCCCGTGACGTCACCTAAACGTATTCAATTGAATTTGATTTCAATTACAGGAATGGCTACAATTGTCACACTTCTTCTCGAGTTGTAAGTACACAGTTACAGCTAAAGCTTAGTTGTCAATGGCAACCAGTTGTTTGCACTATTCTACTCTGAAATGAAACGTATACCAATCGGTTCCTACCAGTAACTTAATTGACCACTGATAAATTTTCAGTTGGTAGGTAACTGAAGTTACATCAGCTTTGAGATATTAATATAAGAAAGAATTATTTTGATTGCTTACCTTATTTAAAAAGAAATAATGAAAGAAATAGTGCAAAAGCTTTGAAAAAAACAAAACTTAAACACTTAAAGAAAAAAAAAAGGCTTGCAATAATGTAATTAAAACTGACAGGCTCTGTTCGGTACTAACCATTGTGAACCAGTATGGAACTATTAGATTTCCTAGAGGAATTCCTAGAGACTTGGCTGTGGTTTGGAGAGGAGTCTGATGATTTTTGATCAGTATAGTTAGCTGTGACCGTAACCATTGGGTGAACAGATGCACTTCCTGAAAAAGAGGAAAACGTTTTATGCTAATAACTTCTTCTAATAGCCTTCAATGAAAATCTATTTCATATAATATATAAAAATTTCTTATTCAAGTATGACTAAGAATTGGGTACTTGAGCTTCAAGAAGATTACTGATATCCACACATGTGACATGTCAGCGCCATCAGATGGCTTATAAGCAAAATGGCGTGTTACAGTTCAGCTAAGTTTCTCCACAAGGCACAGTGGGCCAGCATCCAAGGTTTCGTGGTCAAAATTAGTATTTCGATAAAACTTGTTTCAAAATTTGGTCGGTTTTATTTAGAGATTTCATGTGCAGGTAAATTAAATGCAGGCGAACAAAAAATATACATACATACATACATACCTACATACATAT